GTTAGGAGTGAAGCTTTAGTTTACAATCCATATTTTCCTCAGAACAGTCGTTTTACGGAAATTATTCGACATTAGATTCTAACACCAACACTGTAATTTCTCACGCGGTTGCCTAATCGTCAAAATGGCTTTCAAAACCGTGACAAGGTCTATTAGAATGTCATGTGTTGGCGCTTTTTTGTTTTCAAACCAGAATTCTATCAACGTTTGTCAGTCATCAAAAGGGCCTCGTAACTTGTTCCAGGTGTTTTGATTATGGGGACGGCGCCATAAGATGTGAGCAGCAAAACACTATGAGGGGGTGGGGAAGGGATTTTTTTCCCGCTCTCTGACCGTCACACCTCACTCCATTCTGAATCCTAGCGTAGGCTACTTCCCAGGAGGCCCCACAAACTTTTGTCTCACCTTTCCATCCCTCCCTCCCACAAAAGCTGAAAGTCAAAAAATCAATTTTCGAACGCAACTCGGTTGCAGCGAAATTTAGATTTTTATACCAAGAAGCTGAGTTTCTCGCGAAAATCTAGGAATACATTTTGCTCAGTTTGACTTGCACAGTTTGTGAAACGTTAATTTTATAGTCACTCTGTTGAAGGTGCAAACGAATTTGGTAAGGCACGTAAATGTTTTTCAGTGTTTGTAGTAGGGACAAACAAATGTTGGATTTCTATAACTTTTCTTCAAGATTTTGCATGGAACGATCGATCGATTTGAAATTGTTTGGTAGAATATCCTGTTCGTGTACTTTCTGTGGCTGTTGTTTAACGATGCGTATTTATTTTAGTCTTTTTGTGCTTTAAATATATAGAAGGGCTATATTTTAATTTCAGTAAACTGTAATAAAGAGTTTTGGCGTCTGTCTTCAGATTAACTGTCTGGTTATATAAAGGCCCAAGCATTTTCAATTGAGGACTCCTTATTTTGTTTAACTCTGACTCACTGGTTCCGAACAGGGACTCGTGATTTTTCACAAGATGGTGGAGTCACCATAACTATTTGTAACAAAATCACTGAGAGTTTTAATGTTTTTAATTTCACTAGTTTTTATTTTCTTGCTAGCGTTTGGAAGTTTGGCTCTTATAAAACAAAAGAGAAAGAAGAAGACAAAACACAAAAGACGACCAAGATGAGAAGAGGCATTATTGAAGGAAGTCTAAGGCTGAAGAAAAGTACGATGAAATTCGTCTGATACGTGTGGAGACTGTCGTTGTCTGTTTAAGAAGGTCGAATATACACCTGGATGCTTATTCTCGTGTCTGAGGAAGGAAAGACTCTTGTGTCATAGAAGTGGAGGCTTTGTCGAATAACTTTTATTGGATACGCGGCGGTTTCAACTGCTAAAACCACGACATTGGCACGATAAACAGTTACGTCTTGTATCGCTATATTTCCTTTCTATTATTTCGTTCCTCTTCAAGTTTTGAAAATATTTAATCTTTCACTGTAGGGAAGTCTGCGGTAGGATTCACCTTGTGCCGACCTTGACAATGGTTCAGTCTAGTTACCCGGGTCTAGTTATTCTGTTTGTTCTGTGCCGTTGACTAATCTCCAATTACCTGTGGTATTGAGACGTTTTCGCCAACGTAAAAGGATCATAAAGGTGATAAAGATTGTTAATTTGACATTCAATGGTATAAGCAGAAAAAACTGCATTACTTTTAACCTATGGGCATGATATTTCTTGAGTTGGCTAACTCGATGGATTGTTAGAAAAGAACACTCAATATGCAAATGAACTAGTAAACGTGATCAAACTTTTACGCATGGCACTGTTTTCGTTAATGTAATAGAACCCAGCGATGTTGGGTGCGCAATGTACGTCTCATAGACGCCATAAACCTTTCACAAATGAAGAATAAAATATATCATTATGGTAGTTTTGCTCGAAATTTTTATCTTTCAGTGGTAAAGGTAAAGGTTCCGCAACTGGGAATCAAACTCTAAATCTCACGCACATACCTGACATATGGCTGCGTATTCAAACGACTGTGCTGTTCTTTTTCGTCAATGACAATGGGTAAAATGTTAATGAATTATTCTTGATTTTCCTGTCCTGCTTGGAGCGGAATCTGCTCCCCATATTGATGATTGCTCCTGACACAAAGGCCTACTCATCCACACGAAGGTTAAGTTACAAAGCGACAGTTTCCGTTAGTCTCTTGTGGACCAGCCAATTTGCTTACAAGCGTTTTCGCCTTAGGCACAACTCCAAGACTAAGGGAAAGGTTGTAACCTTCTTTAATTAAAGCTCCCTGCAAACTGACGGAAAGTGTTGGGCCAAGAACTCTTAACATTGTTGTCTGTTACATGTTGCGTCCGTTTGCATTCTCTGTTGTACGTTATTGCGTGCTGTTGGGAGTTGTAGCGCAAAGTTTGAAACCGGTCAAAATCTTTGGGTCAACAACTCCCAACAATATTTCTTTTGTTCCGTGATCTCCGAAGCGTAGCCCTGTATTATTGAATCCGTTGTTGGGGCCACGCCTGGTCTCCTTGAACATCATTCAAATTGCCAGCTGTTAGACTGCTAACAGTCTCTTTTTTTCTTCAGATTTAGTGAGGTGAGAACACGCTCCTTCAGCCATGCGCGTGTTCATTTTCGTGTCTCGCGCGTTACGCTCAACTGACTATGCAAAAAGAGAGACTGCTCGTAGTGTAGATGGCTGAAGAATTCTGTACGTTTACAGCCTTATGGGCGTATCCATCCCCTGATGCACTCTAAGTTCCATCCTTGCTTGGAGTTGTTGCATCCGTTTGCACATCACCGCCAACACTATCCAACGACTCCCAACATTTTCGGGTT